AACTAGATATAGGGTAGTCTGGTATATAAAAGAGGGTGACAACGTGACGGGAGATTAATGTGTGTGTGTAGACAGTGAGTAATTGATCTGTAGTCAGAGAGTGTTATTGAGCACGTTCGTTGTTATAGCATTTGTTTTAGCGCAATTGTTGAAATTAAGTGTATCGTAAAGTTATATTCGGAAAGAATAAACCAGTTTTATTAAGTAAGGACCTGTGTCGTTAAAGTTTCGTCGGAACGAAGTTACAGAAAGTTAATTAACAAACGGAGACGTAACAGTATATTTTTAACCAAAAACTAAGACTTGTATAAGTTTTCACCAAACCAGTAATAAATATAAAATACATTGTTCTGCAGTGAAAGAAAAAAAATATAAAAACTATTGTGAATATAAATAACCAAATTTGAATGACACTACTTATATTTTGTCCTTTTCCTAAATAGTTATTTAAGATTGACCTTTCACTTTTCTTCTTGTTTAGGTTAACCCTGATTACAAACATACTTTTACTTTTAAAAATGACTTCCCGGCACTTTTAGAGGATGTTCCTGATCCAGGTAAAGGCAAAGTCACTTATGTCAATTTTTAATGTTTCACAATAAAATTTCTGTTTTAAAGTTTGCTACATAAATAATGCTTATAAAATATTCCTTTAAAGAAATATATTTGAAATTTTCAAAAAATTGTATCATATACTTTTTCATAGCAAAATAGTTTCTATGTGAGTTGACATTTCTTGTACTTTGTTTGGAAATAATAAAAAAAAACTACTTTTGGTAATAGTTTTTTTTTTGTTGAATTAGAAGGATTTGTGTTCATAATGGTAAGATGTAGCTAAGAAATACACACTTAATTTTGTAGATAAATATGAATATTCATAACTTCCTTTCTTGAATATTGATACCAAAAACTTTGAATTAGACAACCTTACAAACATTTTGATATTTGTAGGTCCAAGCCAACATCCATTATTCAGGTCTGAAGCTGCTTGTGGAGTGTGTGAAGTCATGTGCTTTCATCCCAGGTCTGATGTCACTTTACCACTGATGACTTTGTATGAAATAAATGAAGTTATACGCAAATGGAGTGAAAGAACTTTAGAGCTAGGGAAGAAGTATAGATGGGTTCAGGTAGAGTGAACTTCAAAAATGGGCTTTACTTCATGTTTTAATGAACTGATTGATTCTGAACTGTAATACTACATAATGATAATTATACTGTTTGTCAATATATAAACAATGCATCAATTTACAGTGCGTGTTTAAGCTTGAAGGGAAAAAAAATATGCAAACAAAATTTACATTCTTTAAAACATAAAATATTTTTGATTTTAAAAGGTTTATAGTTTGACATTAAACCTGTTTGTTTGTGTCTGCAGTTTTTTGTTGTTGTTTTTTTATCTTTTGGTTTGACAGTTTGAACGTTAAATGGAGTTTACCTATAATTTTACATTTGACCAAGTGCTATTTAAAATTGTGTGAAAGGCTATGATGAAAAGAAAAGATGGAATTGATTTAAAAAACCAGTTATACAGTAATTATATGATAAAAACAATTATGTTTTCCACAAAAGTCTAAAGATATTGTATATTAATTTACATTGAAATGTTTTTCAATTTATACATGCATATATCAGTTAGTTAGTCTTAATGTGATGTCTTTTAAAAGCTAATGGATTAAGTTGTCAAAAAGCTGGCTACTATTTCACATCTATTGAAGATATATCTCACAAAACTAACTGAAATTTCAAAGAACTTGCACCGTAATAAGTCTCACTTGTGGTATGTATCATCAGTATCGCTGCTAGGATATATATATGATTAGCTTATGGATGTGCTTTGAATTATATATATATATATATATATATATTTACTTAGTAAAAAGTGTAATTACACATCTTATTTTTATTTACTTAAGTCTATACAGAGTTTGATCTTGCTACTAGCTGAAAGTTGGTTTTACGGCTCATGTCACGTAAGGTTGTAAGCAAATAATATATTCAAAGCTTAATGTGTTTATTAGTTTTTGAACAGTTTTTGTGAGTCCTTTTTTGACATTACTTATTCATGACTTTAGAAGTTTATTAAACATATGCAAGTTAAATTTGACTTAAAATTTTGAACAGAGTAATCAAAACACTTTTATGTAAGATGTTTTGATAAGAATATAATTTCTGTTTTTAGTTATACTAACATTTGAGTCCCAAATGTAATTCATTTACAGATGTGTTATTAATACAGATTTTCCAAAAACCTTAGTTTTTGTAAGTTTATCCCCTAGTACATAATAATATTCTCATCATAAAAACCAATGTAAAGTATATGAAGGTTAAATTCAAGTTGTCACAAGTTTCCACTTCTATAAAACATCTGTAGGAGCACAAAAGTCATGAGTAATGTTAAAACAAACAAGTATCCATGGAAACAGTCTTGAATTACTGATCAATGTAGTAAATCTTACGGGACAAGCTTAAGGTTGCGACTGCAATTCAGACATTATTGGATATGCCTTGAAATGCTTTTTTACAGTTTCGTGCATCTTGTTGGAATCTCTCAGGTGCTGGAGAATGGAGAGCATTGAAAAAATTTTAAATTATTTAATCAATTTAATAGGCTAGTGCCTGTAGTTTTAACAATAAAAGGGTGTGACCCACATCTGAAAGACCTGAAAAAAGAAAGCAATTTTAGAGGCTTGGAGTATTTGCTTATTTAAATCACTATTTTAAATTCAATGTATTGAGCATATGTAAATTTGAAGTTTAAAAAAGTGAAGCTTGTTAAGTGACTAACATTTACATTGTAAGTATATTTACTACCAGTATAAATTACGTACCATAAAGGTTTAAGTTACTTTCTTCTGCATGTACAGTAAAAGCTAATGATTATAAGAATTATAGGATAATTTTTTCTGCTTTCTAGATTTTTGAAAACAAAGGAGAAATAATGGGTTGCTCTAATCCCCATCCACACTGTCAGGTAAGCTTAGATTTTTTATAGATTAACGTGTGTTGTTGTGTTAAAAAAGAACAAATGTTTTTTTCTGGATTAATCTTCTCAAAAGATATTAAGAATGAATAAGTGTCATTTTTGATTTATTTTGTTGCAGGTTAAAGGTATACATTTATATATATTTAAATAGATCTTTTAGAATTTTGTATGTAAATTGAGGTTAATGAGTGAGATAATCGTTTCCAAAAAGTCATATACATGTAGTTGCTTTCCACTTAGCAATAAAACGTTTTAACGCTTTTTCTACATAACATCATTATGAGCTGGGTTTTAGGTTGTTAGATATTTGTCAAGTTATTATAATTTGAGAATTTTATATGTTCATAATGACCTTTATAGTATACTCTGTATTTGTATGTATTGTAGAACAAAAAAATATGTTGGCTACATTAAAGCTTTTTAAAGTATATGAATGCTACAATGTTAATAACAAAACAATGTAATTAAGTTCTGAATAAAATAATTACACACTTGAATATCTAAATGCAATACTTGAATTCTCTGTTATGTGTTAAGTAACTTCATTTATTCAGAGTGCTTATTATAAAGTAATGTTTACTTTGTAGAATGGCACTAACTTGTAGTTTATCGGGTGAAACATATATGAATGTGTCTCGATCCTGGCTAACTATTAAATCATCAAGTGCTGCAAAGCTCTGCATGCTCTTGACATAAAAAATATAAAATTTATTTAAAAGGGCTTTAGGTAATTTTCTTTATATAGTTAAGAGTACCTTTCCAGAACTTTCTTAATATAGTGAAGACTTTAAATTTACCACACTAAACTCTAATTAAAAATTAATGTAAAATTTTAAAATTAGAGCAACCGTAAACTGCTTTCTCCTCAGTGGTTTAAAGTAATGAAATCTGTACTTTTAAAATGATACTTATCTATTAAGACCATACATGTTGCTGCTCATCTTTGTTTGTGTATAAATAGGACTTTCATAAGAAAGCATTTTCTCTCTGCATCGAAAACCATAATAAAGCTAGAACAGTTTAAGGTGATTACAACAGCTTTGTAAACTAAGAATCCATGATGATTACTTATCTGAAGCCAGAACTTAAAGTAAGCCTGGATGCTTGAAAGCTTTTTAGCCATACAGGTTTATATTTTCATTAAAATTTACAAATTTGCCTTTAATCATAAAATATAAAATCAGAAAGTGTATAAAGTCTACATTGGATTGATGTATGATAACTTCATGAACAATATTAGTGATTTTATGGGGGAAACAATTTGACCCTTTTTTTTAGATGTACTCTTATGTGGATATTATTAAACATAAGCATTTAGTAAATGTTTTTTGTATTATTATTACTTCTGATTTTTTAACTTTGAAAAGGCTTTTTTTCTGCTTTCAAGATTTGGGCAAGTTCTTTTCTACCAAATGAGGCTCGTATTGAAGATCGCTCACAAAAAGATTACTACAGAAAACATGGAGTCCCAATGTTAATTGATTATGTGAATCAGGAACTTGAAATGCAGGTTATTCAGTGTTTTTATTTAACTTATATTTATATACTGGATTCTGTTAAGAAACAGTTTTTGGAGAAATATTATATCATTAAAGCTTTTGTAAAGTAAACTTAAGAAAAAAAAATCCTTTTTTTTTTAGAAAACAAAAGTAACTGAAATTTTTCTGAAAGAAACATAATCCTTCCATGTTTGTAAGCAGAGTTAATATTATTTTGACATTTCCAGTTAGTTATTCTGTATAAATTTAAAGTTCATAATCATTCATCTTAAAACGTGTTTTTGAGAAAAAGCAAAGGAAGCTTAATTTATGTACAGAGTGGTACATGGACTTATGTTTTCTAAAAAATTGTATCATTCTGTATTTCATCACAAGTCAACTAAACTAACCTTGCAGAAAAAAAATTGTGGAAAAGTTCGATTTTTCTAATTTAAATTATATTCTAAAAACTAGTTTGTAGGTGAAATTTAACTCACTGAATGAGGAGATAATAATTTCAAAAGAAGTGGTATACATGTAGTTGTTTTCAAATTAGCAATAAAGCATTTTATCCTTTTTCTTTATAGCATCATCATGAGCTAGATTTTACGTTGTTAGATATTTATAAAGTTATTATCATTTGAGAATTTTATATGTTCATAAAGACCTTCATACTTTTTTTACTACTCATCATTTTCTTGTCCTGCTGTTGAAGTCGTCATATAGAAAACCATGCTGGATATCTGGGCTGTCTTACACGATATTGCATTTTTTTGCTGTTATTTTTACTACATTACCTTTCTCTTGAGCAGTTTCTATTGGAAAGATACAATTTTTGGATGGCTAATGTCTAATGCTTGGCTTCTGTTGCTGGATGTGCATCATTTTGTATCTTGTAATTACATTTGATGCCAAAACACTGCACTGCTTGTTCAAATATTCTAGCAAACAAACTGCTTAAATGTTATTTTAAAACAAGAGCATCATTATATTTGAAACCATCAAAAATTTGACTAGAATTTCTTTCACCCAATATTAAAATCATATATTCCCATAGATTTTTAATATAACTCACCAGTGCTGATATAACTTTTACATGAGAACTTGTGTGTTTTCTTACAGATCATCATATAAGCCAACTATAACTACTTCACGAAGAGTAGCATGCCAAAGATAAACTAGTTGTCACAAGATTCAGAGAAGAAAAAAAAACATTTACAACGATTTGAAATTAACTCATTTGGATAATTCTTGCAATACTTTTCTACAGCTGCAAGTTAACTGATTTCAATAATTTTTGTGATACCCTTCTCTAGCTGCAAGTTTAACTCATTTGGATAACTTGTGATACCCATCTCCAGTTGCAAGTTTAACTCATTTGGATAACTTGTAATACCCATCTCCAGCTGCAAATTTAACTCATTTGGATAACTTGAAATATCCACTCAAATAATTCATCTTTTGTAAACATATCCTTGCAGCTGGAGAAGAGTATTGCAAGAATTATCCATATGAGTTAAACTTGCAGCTGTAGAAGGGTATTGCAAGAATTATCCAAATGAGTTGAATTTGCAGCTGTAGAAGGGTATTGCAAGAATTATCCAAATGAGTTAAACTTGCAGCTGGAGAAGGGTATTGCAAGAATTATCCAAATGAGTTAAACTTGCAGCTGGAGAAGGGTATTGCAAGAATTATCCAAATGAGTTAAACTTGCAGTTGGAGAAGGGTATTGCAAGAATTATCCAAATGAGTTAAACTTGCAGTTGGAGAAGGGTATTGCAAGAATTATCCAAATGAGTTAAACTTGCAGTTGAAGGGTATTGCAAGAATTATCCAAATGAGTTAAACTTGCAGTTGGAGAAAGGTATTGCAAGAATTATCCAAATCAGTTAACTTGCATCTGCAGATGGGTATTGCAAGAATTAGGGCAGGTATTTCTGCTAGTTTATCAAATGAACAGAAACATGTTTGGAACCTACTTATTTAGTGGATCCAAATGATATATAAATATATGCAACCTGTTAATTATCAAAAAAATAAAAGATTTTATATGTATATGTGTGTATAGCTGTTATATATTAAGAAATAATTTGGGAGAGAGTATTTCAGAGCTAAACTGATGCCTCTTCACATTCAAATAACTTAAACTTCTGTAAAAAATTAATATAACTTTTTATAAATATTTTTGCCACTTTCTTATTAACTTTTCTACAAAAAAAACTCCAAAAATATCAAATCTTTTTTGCTAATTTTAGCAAGTTAAATAAGTGGGATAAAGCAGCCATGCTTATTTTACAGGAACGTAGTGTTGTACATAATGACCACTGGATAGCAGTAGTTCCTTACTGGGCAGTGTGGCCTTATGAAACGATGCTTTTACCACGACGTCACGTTAAAAGGCTTTACGACCTAAATGACACAGAAAGGGCTAGTAAGTACTTTATGTAATGAGTGTTATGTGAAAGTTTTAAGCTGTATGTTACTGTTAGACTGATGTGAACTGTATAATATATATTTGTTATTTGATATAACACAGTAAATGTGTTCAGACACTGATTATTCAATGCATATGCTAAGGTGTGAAATTCTAAAAAATGAAGAATTCCAAAAATAACACAGTTGAGGTAAAATAAATGTCATAAAACAAAAAAAATAGGGAGTATTAATATGAGCATCTCTGGGCAGAGTTAAACATCTGGCCCAAGAGATTAGTTTGATAAACCTTTTACATCTATTTTCCTTTGTGGAGTTAAAAGTATATACTAGAATTGAGCATCAGTTGATTTTAAATTGTTTTTTATTGTATACTTTGACTATTTATGATAATTATTTTTACTTTATTTACTAGGCTTGGCAGATATTATGAAAAGACTGCTTACAAAATATGATAACCTGTTTGAAGTTTCATTTCCTTATTCTATGGGTTGGCATGGTGAGTAAAATATTGCTAAAGTGAACTTAATATCAAAAATATCTGATATTTTTTGCATTTACTTACAGTGATAACCTTAAAGTGTATTCATAAAATACAGGTGTGGTTGAAGTTTGTTTTAAAATTGTATGAATGATAATAATGTAACATATACACACACACACACACATACATACATACATAACTTAGTTTTCTGGGAAGAATCATAAACGCCTCAACGTGAGGTTTATCCACCTGGTAGTTTCACATGTTTGAAAGCACACTGCTATATTGCTGTTTAAAAAACCAGACATTACACTTTGTTTAAATCAAGTTCACGATCTACATTATGAATTTTTGTAGGTAATTGTTTATGAACTTGGGATCAATTTCATTTGAAAGTTGGTTAAGTGTGCCTTTTGACTGGCTATTGTATTATTTTTAGTATAAAAATGTTTTGTTTTTTTTTACAAGAAGTTTCAGAGCAAAAAAAAAAAGATGCACTAAAACAAGTGTATGTTCAGAAATACTACTCATCTCTTCACACAACATAGAGCTATTACCTAGTGCCATTGCCAGAAAAATTTGTATACATGTGTCAAGCATTGAACGATTTGTTCCATTACACATTAACATGTACTAAGCTAGACTTTCACACAAACAGCATTAGATTGTAGCCCTCCACCAATAGGGTTTCAACACATCCTTCATGCACAGTACTCCCCTTGAGCACATTGAGTATATAAAGAGCTCATTCTTGATGAAACAAAAGAGATACACCAGAGTTGTGGAGTTTATCTGTCATCTCTTTTATGTTATCTCCCATCATGACTGTCATTTTATATCATCTCTTTCCTTTAGTCATTGATGTCGTCTGGATGAAATTATGCAGGCAGGATGTGGATGTCCCCCAACGTCTTTGTGTCACATTACTGACGCCACATTGCAGTTCAATCTGCCTCTGGTTTTCATAACCCTCCAATAACCATTCTCTATCTTCACAAAGGCTCTAAGAAGGAGATTTGTTGTTGTTTTTTGCGACTCCTACAACCACCATATTATTTCTATGTACCTATATACTGAAAATAATGGAACCCACAAAATGGCCAGTGCTGTCTCTTAGGGATTTCTTCTCTCTCTCTCCTGAAATCTGCATTGAGCAGGAGATAACGAACAGGGTTACGTCCATCTACCCACTGTGAAGATGGGGTTTTCTACAAGACCGCTTTGGCAATATGTATATTTTATCTCCCAGGCTATGTTTCAGGAAAAAAACAGCACCGGGTGTGATCCTGCCCTCACATCTGGCTAATGCCTGCTGTTCCTATTCATTGCACAGTCTATTAGCGTGAGACCTTATGCAGATGAGATTATTCCTGTATGGTCTATGCATCTGTTTGGTGTTCTTTCCTGTGTGACATCCTCCCTTCCATTTCTACTAATGGAATTGGAGAACCCTTGCTTCTCCAGTCCCAAGCTGCTGGGGAGGTTGATACAAAGAGTTCATCTTTGAGTTAGTATAATCCCATTGGTATGAGAATGAATGGATGCACCCCTCATTTGAAAATAGGGCTGGGTTGTTTACCTGGAAGTGTAGAACAGGCTAGCACCTACGCTAGACCAGACCATTCTTTATTATTATGCCAGCTAAATTGGTCTTGTGTTCATCTCAGATGCAGATGATTGCTCCCTGCACCTGCTTATTCTAGTAAGTGTTTCTCACATACTTTACGGCCTGACTTATTGCCTTAGCTACAATACACATCCATTTTCTTACTACCACCTGAAATGTACTGGCCAATTAAGCAGTCTTTACACTCTTCCCAACTCTTTAGCACCACTGAGGTTATTTTGACAGTACCTTTTGCTCTACCAGCCTTTTTTGAGTGAAGAGTGTTCCCTATATAAGACGGATGTAGGTTCACAACGAGTATTGCCCCCCCCCCCAGAGTTGGTGACACGTTTCATGTGTTTTTCCTTGTTGTTGCTATATTTTCAGAAAGGAGCTCATTTCTTTTATCTACACTGGCCCCTCCACCACCCTATTAATGTGAGATTCTAGCTCTCCTTTCTGTGGATAGGTGTGGCACTGTTTCTGAAGTTAATATTTTCCTTACCTCAAATTGTACATCAGACAGATACTCACCTCTCTATAAAACTACCCACTCTTCCTTCCCCCACTTCAAGTGTTTCTTTTGCTCTTCAAGAATGAGCCTTTGGTATACTCAGCGTACTCACAGGGATTACTGCACATAGAGGGGGGGCTACAGTGTAATTCTTATTGCATCATAGACTAGTGCATACATTTTAATACATGTAAGGGTGAGTTTCGTTCAAGGCTTGACACATGCACAAAAATCATGTCTAAGTCATACAATCACTGAATGATCTAAGACAAATGTTTACAATGAGAACAAAGTCTCTTATTCTTACCATTCCTTCCACTTTAAAATTGTCTTGTCCTCTTTTGATTATATTATTAGGTTTTCAGATAAATTCACTTTTCTGATCTCTAATTTCAACAGGTACCTCATCATGACTTCATCCACAACTTTTGAATTTTATGCAAATAATAACTTCTGAGTAAAAATACACCTTTTGATGTCACACTTGTAACTGAGTCTAGGGTAAATATGACTATCAGACATTCTCCCAGTTTATACTGACAAGCTTAGCACTAAAATTAGATCTTTTCTAAGTAAATTACCTTGCAAAAGGCAATGGACTTCCACCACAATTTTACCACAAACAGAAGAGGAAGAACTCATGTTCAAATGAATATTTCCCTTCAAGATACGAATTGATGAACACAAGGGTTGTATTGTTTGAAAGTTCTGATACTATTGTTGAAAGGCAAGTTTAGTGCTTTTTATCATTTGCTGGGTATTGTGATGACCAGAACAGCCACAAATTTCTTTAAGATCATCTCTCAATTTTAGGGTTAAATATTTGTGAAACAAAATGAAAACTACAAAATATAAGATATTTAATGTTAACAAAATCATAAATTATAATAAATCAAAGATCACAATTGATGCTGTAAAATTCAATCATATACACATCTTTTTATTTAAATGAACTAAAGCAAAGTTGAAATTATATAGTAATGTAATTCTTAATTTTACAAATACACATATTATAGTATCATTTTGTGATGAAGAATACTTCGTGCTTGTTGGAACTAAAGAAACTATTTACTGAATTAGGAGCCCCAACTGGTGATATGGAACACATTGAAAACTCCCACTGGCAGTTACATGCCCATTATCTTCCTCCGTTACTAAGGTCAGCAACAGTGAAAAAGTTCATGGTGGGTTACGAGATGCTAGCTCAAGCTCAACGAGATTTAACGTCAGAACAGGTGAGTAATATGAGAACATATAGCTTTATAGTGTTCTTGGTTCTGAAGTGGTAACTCAAGCCCAATGAGATTTAACATCAGAACAGGTGAGTAATGTGAGAATGATTAGCTTTATAGTGTTCTTGGTTCTGAAATACTAAATCAAATTCAACCCGAGTTTTAATGTCAGAACACGTGAGAATGTGTAGCTTTATACCGTTCTTAGTTCTAAAGTACTAGATCAAATTTAATGAGATTTAACATCAGAACAGGCGAGTAATGTGAGAATGTTTAGCTTTATAGTTGTCTTTGTTATAAAATGTAACATCAAGCTCAACAGTGTGTGACTACAACAAATGTAAGTGAGAACCACATTGTATATAATAGTATTTAGTAGAAAGATATTTCAGGTATATAATTTAACCAATCTGACCTTATGAGGATCTGCACCAACAGCTTGTAACATCATCCAAAATCTTCTAAAGCAAATGTAATACACAGAAATCTACAATCAAGACCTAATACTTTATCTTCATACATTTTATTTTATGTGACTAAACCCTTTTTGGATTAACTTCAGTCTTGCTCCGCTTATTTGATTTTTATGCATTTTTGAGTGAGGTTTTCAGTTTTTGAATTAGTTTAGAAACTGTACCTAACGTACTCCTGTAAATACTCTTTTTTTAGACAAACTAAAGAGACAGACATTGTATTATTAAAGTTCAAATCATCTGAAATAAACTTTACAAAGGGTTGAAAAGAAAGATGTATTCGACTTTGCAATCAGTGTCCCAAAATACATACAAGACAAAATACAGTGTTTATGACACAAGCATTAGAATTTGGGAGTTGTAGCATACAATATGAGCTACTCTTTGAACCAAGTATGATAAAATCAAAATCATTTCTAGTGACAAAAAAAAATTGTTTTTAGTTGAAATTTTTTATTTCATTTGTAGGCAGCGGCAAAATTACGTGAGCTTCCAGAAGTTCATTTCATGGAATACAACAGTGGTAAATTTTTCTGAAATGTGCTGTCATCGACTTAATTTTATGTGTAATGTATGTTTAATTTAATACACGTAACTAGTACTAAAATGTATTTAATTAAAAATTTTTTCAATGAGATTATCCACTTTTTCTATCAAAATGAAAGCACAGTTCTTTAATATTCAACATTTGTTCTTTTGGCATTTTGTAATTTTAGAATTGATTTTGCAAAAGTACTGTTTTCAATTCTTTGTTTTCATTTTTCAATAATCTTATAAAATCGTCTGCACATATTGAATATTTTACCAAAAGAAGACTTCAGTTTTTCAAAACTTAAGTTATTGTAGCAAGTGTTAGAATTACAAGAAAACAAAGAAGGATTTGATCAGTTCATGTAATAATATATACCATAAAGCTATTATATCAAGAGTGAATGAACATGGAAATAACATGCATAATTTTGGGGTTAAAAATTATCACTACTTAATAATGTAATGATTTTAAACATTTCATGGTTATTGAAATTCAATGAAATAATGATAATAAAATGGAAAATTAACCTTAAACTACTCAGAATCATGAAATGTATTAATCATGTTGCTTTTCATGAAGACACTTCCTCATGTAACTTTGAATACTGGTTGACATACTGCTTATGAGCATCATAAACCATTCTCTTTTGTTGTCCTACATATGTAAAAAAAAATATTTTTGTAAACACAAGTTTTATATGTACTGTATTTTCTGGTATCATGTATGTTAAGTCAAAAGTTTTAAGTCTGACAAGTCTGTTGTCAAAAAATCTCAATAAAAAAATGATTTAATTAATGTTTCACTTGCGAGTAAAGACCATGTAGGGGAATTTACCTGGAATATTATTCAAAGCATTTTAGTTTTCATTGAGCATTAAAGAAGAAGAAAATAGTACAAAGAATAAAAAAAAAGCCATCAATGCTATAACATTTTTTATTCCATTTTAAAAAAACGCTTCACCAAATTTTACTTTATATGCCACAAAGTAAAGACTCTAGTCTGTAAATTTTGTGATGATCGAGTATATACAGTGAGTGTCAGTGTTGAAAATAGAACCCTTGTTTGTTTTTTACATGTGTATGAATAAATAGATTAAATTACTACATAAAGGTTACATTGTCTTTAAGTGCATCAGAACGATTTGTTTAGAATGCATATAAAAAAAACATTTTTTGAACATTCCTTTAATAACATGGAAAATATTTTAACAATTTTTTTTTCAATTATTGTATCTTGTATTTATGTAATGGAACCTACAAATTCCACTTATCATGCAATATTATTATTCTAAGTTATTTAAAGTTGGGATTTCTAATACTTTTCCGTTGGTCGAAAGTTTATTTTTTCTTTTACTTTACTCAAAACACTTATCGTAGTTTTAAAATATGAGCTGTAACCTAAATGTCATTAAAAAACATTTAAACTTATACATAACTTTGATTCTTTAAGAAAATACTGCAGAGTATTTCTCCAAATTTAGTTAACAAATCTTTTTCACATTTCATATGTGTTTGCTTTATTAGATAATGATAATTATCTGGTCTTACATTATCGCATGTATATTATGATACTAAATATGTAGGATGTACAAGTCTCATGATTTTGGGCAATTACAAAACAAAACGTTTTGATTCTTGGAAATGCTTTTATTTAAATAAAATGAAAATAATTCATGTGCATTTATGCAATTCATTTTTCAAAGTTATCAAATGGTACATTTTTAAAACCACAATTACATTTATTAATTGTGATATTTAGATATACAATATGATTTTGTTAAATTGTTGAAAAGTTAACAATACACATTTTTTTTAACTAAAAAGAAATCACTTAAGCATACCATCTAGCCTCAAAGCATAAAACCACCAATAAGATGAGAGTGATAGTGAAGTAACAAGTCTCTTTAACAGAAAAATGACGAAGGTGAACCAGACTCTTTATGTGGGGTGTTAATAATCTATTTAAATACTTCCACTATTTTCGTTGTTTAAATTTTTACAGTTCTTTATAACTAGAGTATGTTTTCATGATCATTTAGTGTGTTGCAAAGTTATGAGGTCAACTTATTTCACAAATTAAAAAAATCCATTCAGCCATGATGATCTATCCATTATTAAATTGTTTGTCAAGATCACTGTTACTGTATTCATAATATGCATGAGTAGCTCTTTGGTTTTCTTCCACCAAGCCAACTCCATTTTTAGTTCCACAAAAGAGCAGATAGATAAAATTACATCCAGGGCCATAGCCAAGCTGAGACAGAAGAGGTAACCTGTTTTAGTGGTTTTGCAACTATGTAGCAAAATGCACAACACTAGAACAAAATAACCAATAATAATAATAGTTTTTAACAGGGAATAAACACAGCTTCCACAATAAATGAGTGAAACCTACTTTAGTTACATCTGGCCAATCCAGGAATAAACTGGGCCTCAAATTCCTTCCACCAAAATGCAAAATTTTGGTCAAAATGAAACTACAGTTGATTCAATTGGATTTTTTCATTGTTAAACTGTTTTTTTATAATATTCTAAACTTCTAATGAAGTGTTTAAATCTACAAACATGAGGAGCATTTTGAGAAATCAATAAAAAATTAAGCTGATCTCTTTGTACTGTTACATACATAACAAAATGTAAATGTTTTTTTTAATATGCTTCACTTCAAATTCATAATAAAAGAATTAAACTCAAAACATTTAATTTTCATGATATACATTACAGTTTTAAATTTTTTTCTTATTTTCACCTACAGACAGAACTAACCAACAAAAAATATAAATGAAAAGTTGGAAGCGGTAGTTAGCACAGAGTACGATAAACTCGCACACAAACAATATTTTTAGAGATGCCATTTAATTTTTACACTGACTTTTCTTAGAACCGTCACAGGACAATAACCTTGCATGCATAAGAAATATTTGACTTCTTCCATGCTTGAGTTTGAATAATCACAATAAAAATCATTTATTTATACAAAACTGTTAAGCCTCATAAAGAGTTACTGCTTATAACATATCTTAAATACTTCTTTTAATTCAACACTGTGTCATTACAACCTTAATGCGAAACCCTCAACCTTCCAATGATTCTACTATTAACAATAAACTATAAGTTCATTTGATGGCTGTTATTCATGAAGGGCAATATAAAACTGGTATAATGTCAAAATAGAGCCTTTTCTTATTCAATCGACAGAAATTTCATTTATAGCGTATGGTAGTAGTGATGTGCAAGTTTGATTATGTTTCCATCACATACAACTACACACCACTGAAATTACTACTGGTGGAACAATTCGTGATATCGCAAGTAACAAAATCATTGTTGAATTATATATTGTGGTTCTTGGAAGCTTTAACAGCATCATTCTTAAAAAAAAAGTTTGGATAATAAAAGAGAAAATGCTTTATTAACTGATAAAAATAAAACATTACCAAAGATAAGTGGAAATTACACTCAAGGAGAAATTTTGAAGTCGTTACTTGCATCTTCTAAATGATAAAGCTTCCCACCATTAGTATGATCACTATAATTCTTTATGACGGGTATACAAGATCAAATCATAGAACACTACAAGAGACTTACAATAACTTATGAAATTCTGTAACAAAATCATGAAAGAGGAATATTAGTCTTATATTATAATATTAAATGTTTGAGTTACAAAACTTGTGTGAAAAAAAAAAGACTCCGGAACTTAACAAGGCCAGTGGAATGGCATTTAATTGGGCAAAATAAAAATAGATGTGTAGTACAACTGCCATTCTTTGTTACACAGCAGTTTGTTGAAAGTTTTATACAGATATGCACATTCAGTGTTTCAAATGATTAAATGAAATACATGTAGCACATTGAACAATAATATTTTGTTCTCAAAGACAAACAACACATCTTATAGAAATATGTTACTTTTAAAAATTCACGTGAGCGTAAAGAGATTAAATTGAGTTTTATGAGTAACAAGATCAAACTGTAACAAGAAACATTGTATGTGAAATATACATGATCACCTAACAAAGGCACCAAAGTTTGTAACAGTTAGTTTATAACTGGTTATTTTTAATTTTGATGAAATGGCAATATTCAGAGATGAGAATGAGCAAAAGGGGGAAAAAAAATTCTGAAATATTTTGAGTCCAAGACTTCCAGGAGCATGCTTCCAAAAAATATTTAGAAAATCAATAGCTCTCTGGTGCACTCTACTGTCTTTTTTTTTCATATTTGATAGCTATGATACCCTAAAATTTAACAGTTAGTCAAAAGTACTTTTTAGTAGATCCATGTGTCAATAGGAAGAACAGCCTGGTTATGTATACTTCATAAGTTTGTTGCGTATTCTAATAAATCAACCTTTTTAATTAATTTCCCGTAATTTTGACTTCATCACTTGCAATTTACTCCCAACAAACACATTTAATTTCTAATTCATTTCCCAACAAGTCTTACCCAATTTTTCTGACCAAACTTTCAACTTCTCTAACCCTGTTAAGCCTCATAAATAGTTGTAGCTTGAAATGTCTCTTGAATATATTTTTTTAATTTAATGCTGTGTCAATACTTTTGCTATTCTATGAAATTCATTCCATCTTTAAATTAAACTAACATGAAAATTTTCAAATAATTTTTCATGTGAAAAAAAAGATTCTATAAACATGCCATTTTGTAAGATTGGAATGTACTAATTAGATTCTGATCAGTCAAAAATTGAGGTAGTTATACACAAGATATTAAAACAATGAATTTGATGTTGTTGTGCAGAATCAGAATATGAAGCTTAACACCCCAAAATAACTTTCTCCCCAGATTATTGTGAATGTTAACAACCCCAGGCAATATCAAAAAGTCCAAAATCCATTGATGGGCAGGAAGTTCTCATCCCCAAGTACTGGATAAAACATAGAATTCTACAGAACAATAACATCATGAATGCTGATGAGTAAGTGAGATTTTATAACAAATGACAGTTTTCTTGTTGCTTTTTAGTACAAAGCTACACAATGGACTATCAAACCCTGGATTTTAACATTGTAAGTCCTTAAACTTACTCCTGACCTACCAGGGTAAATAACAGTCAGTAATGAAACTATTTACATTATTATATGTTCATGAGTACATATGTACTAAATATAGAAAATTTTGTTTGGGCTTGGACATGATGAATGCAAGTAAATGGCATTTTTTCAACAAGTATAGAACAAATTTACAATATTCAATTTATCAGCTAATTTCCAGGCATGCTACAAGACTCCACCAAACACTAACAGACCAAAGCAAGACAAAAACTATTAATTTAACTTAAAAATCTCATACTGGATATAACATTATTGTGGCTACAAACTTAAAACACTCATTAAAAGAGAGCTAAGCCTAATTTAACTTATCCGACATGTATTAAATTGAATATTGAAAGTTTTTGTTGTCAGTTTTATTCTTCAGTAGATATGGCAGTCAAACTGTTATGACTTATTTGTTTTGACTTACTACAGAATATAAAAAAGGAAAAACTAAGTAAATCTACAGATAACCTCCGTTTTTTTTTATGTTTCTAATTTAGCTTTTGAGAAAGTTTTCAACCTGCAAAAGCCATGAAGTATTTATGTTTGAGTTTTTAACATTTTAGGAAAATACTGTGTGCTGGTTTCTCTAGAAAAGATATTCTAACATAATCCTGCAAAGATGAATTTTTTATTTATTACTTGATTATAATTTCTTGTAATTCTTTTTTTGTTAATTTACATTTATAAGTAGTAGTCCATGCAAGTGAGTATACACTTACTCATATGACAAAAAATATAAAAGGATAATATTTTTTCCTTTTAACATGAAAATATGTGCATTTTTTTCTTACTAACACATACCCTTTTCAAACTTATGTTTAAAAAAAACTAATAGTTTCTGTGCACAATATTATGCAACAGTTTATTCATTTTTAGCTCTTAAAAGAGTTAGTACAATTATGTTGTTAGTTATATTCTGATGATGCTATGGAAAGAGTTTGACTTGATATATAGTATGTAAAAGCTTTGAAACTCATTTAGTTGTCATTACAATAAAAAAAAACAATCACTTCTTGAATAATTTTCAAGTCTTTCTTAACATTTAAAGAGTAAACTTCAGTGGCTGTTTTAACTATCCTTGTTATACAGTGGAATGACAAATTTTGACCCAAATGGTGAAGCATAACGTATGCCAACATCACTAAATACTTCTCCTGGTAGCCCTAAATCACACAGATAAAGGCTAGCATTGCTGCTGGGAAAGGCAGATGGAAGTACGGTAACAAGAATCCACTTAGGTTCAAAGTCCGAAATTGTTTTAGCCTCAGGAGGTGGGTCCAGCAGTAGCAGTGGTGCTTTACAATGGCTGGCCCATTGATGAGAAGAGTTGTACCAGTGTTGGTCTATTTTAACTTCATAAGTCTCAAGTTGTTCATCAATAGCTACCAGAATAATGTCAACTGTCTTTGGAAGCAGGTCTGGAAGAAATCAAGAAGTGTAAATAAAAGACACATTATGTTCTATAGAAGTCTCGAGTTGTTAATCAATATCTACCAGAATAACGTACACTGTTTTTGGAAGCAGGCCTGAAAGAAATCAAAAAATGTAAATAAAATCATAAATAATATTCAACGTTAAACGGAATCCTGAGGATGATATTGTAGCGTCGAAACATGTAGAGTTGTCAACTTTTTGAAGGCCATAGATAGGCCG